GAGTCAAGTATATAAGAAAGAGTTACAGAATTTTCTTCTGTGATTAAGAAAGCCCGCTGAGGCCAAGTGTGTAGCAGGGTATCCCTGCATGGAAGCTCAGACAGGCCATGTGTGAACCTGTGAAGGTGAAGCCTGGACTGATTTTAAGACCCAGGAAGTTCAAGGTGCCAGAGTCATGGATCGACACCTGCCAAGGAAAAATGAAGACCAGGCATGGAACCAGCCCACGAGAGAGAAATGTGTTATAGTCAACAAAGCTGAGAAGAGTTGGAGACCTGAAGAACATTTTGACATCACACATGGAGATGCAGGGTTTGGAGTTTGCCCACTGGCTTTCAGTCCAGCTTTGGTTCAGTATTTGCTCTCTATGGTCCCTTTCCTTCCTTTTGGAATGATAATGTATGTCCTGTGCCATTTTATGTTAGAAGTATATGATCTGCTTTTTATTTTGATTTACAGGGGATTACAGTTAAGAGATTGTCTTGAGACTTTGGACTCTGGACTTTTAAATGGCGTGGAGCTGATATAGACTATGTTATAGTCTAAGTTACAGATTTTTGAAGTTGGACTGAATGCATTCTGCATTTCTGATATGGCTACAAGCTGATGGAGGAACAGGGAGTGGAAAGGGGTGGTTTGAATAAGAATGGCCTCTATAGGCTTATAGAGAGTAGCACTATGAAGAGGCGAGTTGCTGGGCTAGGTGTGACCTTACTGGAGTAACTGTGTCAGTGGAGACTTCAAGACTTTGAGTTTTCAAGGGTCTAAACCAGGCCCAGGGTCTCTCCTTCCTGCTGCCTTTGGACTGGATATAGAACTCTCAGCTCCTCCTCCAGCACCATGTCTGTCTGCATGCCACCATGCTCCCCACCATAATGGACTAAACCTCTGAAACTGTAAGCCAGTCACAGTGAAACACTTTCTTTTCTAAGAGTAGCAAGCACACCTAGCACCCATATCTTAGTTTTTAAGTTCAGCTGTTTGTGTGTATGAGTGTGTGGTGTTTCCTTTTTCAAGGCAGAGTTTCTCTGCGTAGCCTTGGATGTCCTAGAAGTCGCTCTGTAGACCAGGCTGGCCTCGAATGCAAAGATTCACCTGCCTCTGCCCCCCAAGTGCTGGGATTACAGGTGTGTGCCACCACCTGCTGTGAATAGCATCTGCTACGGAGACCTTTAAGACCTCTTCACAGTCTGAAACACCGTCTCTCTTCTGAATGACGGACAACACAGAGAGGACAGGAGTAAAGACTGAATCGACCATCCTTCCAATGGGGAGGGCGAGTACAGTGAGAGCGAGTGGACCAGAACTCAGCAAAACCGATTTACTCGAGACAAGTGAAAGCTAGATCACAGGACTTCTGTCTTACCAAGGAGGGGCATTCCAACGTGAACTCTTAGTAAGAGCTCCTGGCTCTAAGCTGACACAAGGTGCAAACTCCTGGCAGCACTCAGAAGGCTGGAGCTGAGGTGTTGTTCAGTGGAGAGCTCTTGTGTAGCACAGGCAAGGCCCTGGGTCCCTCCCCCAGCACTGAAGAAAAATGACTAAAAAGTGGTGTTTACATTTTGTATCCAGAATGGTCCTCTATAGGTTGTAGTCAGTGTGGGGGGAAAGCTATGTCTAGTTTAACACCCGTCTGTCTCCTTGCAATCATCAGATCCTATCTCCCGTGCCGGCACAGGCTTGGGCTTCCTTCTGGGACCTCTACAAATCAAGCCCACGTTGCCTTTTCTCCAAATAACATGTGTCATTTGGAGAGCTCTGTGACCACAGAGCCTATTGTCCACTCCTCCTCTCCCTGAAGACTCAATGGTGACTCACCTTGATGTCACTCTGAAAGGGCTGGCACTGACGGATTCTCTTTTTCCATCCTCACTACAAAGAAAGCAATCCCTCAAAGGTAAGGGGCTGGGTATTCTAAAAATAGGAGTGTCTTTGTTAATGAGAAGTGCCCTTCACCAGTGAGAAAAATCAATAATATCAACACATACACACAACCTATAAGCCTAAAACTGAAGAGGAAAAAAAAAAGGGGTATGTGTGTGAGGGAGTCCAAGAAACTAGAAATGATACTAATACACCAACTTACTACCCGGAACTAGGCAATGTCCACAGGCCACATACATCTTACAAAATGTTTTGTCCTCCAGTAACATTTCCCAACTAAGGCAATCGGTATGATTAAAAAAGGGTTACAAAACTCCTATCCCAAACATTTAAAAATACTGTTAGCAGACCAGAAAATTATTCCATCACGCATAATACATTAAAGTCTGTGTGTGTCCACCCAGTGGTTGACACATTAGGAAAGCCCAGGGGTAGGTTAAAAATAAAAGGGAACATCAGAGACTTCAGCAATACAACAAAATGAACAAACCATCTCCCTGAGAAACGGTGTATCCGAGCAGCAGGTGCTGTGTCTCTATGTAACTTATGGCTCATACTCAGAATCCTGCCTAGCAAGTAGGGTTACAATGGGTAGGAAGCAGCCCAGCCCAGCTGCTTCTCAGATTGAACTGCCAGAGAGAGTGATGACAGCCCAGCATAAGAGACCTGGAAGCTACCCAGGTGTGGTGATGAACGCCTTTAGTCCCAGCGCTCAGGGAGCAGAGGCAGACAGATGCCTGTTGAGTTCAAGGCCAGCCCGGTCTACACAGTGATTTCCAGGACAGCCAGGGCTACATAGTGAGACCCAGTCTCCAAAACAAAACAAAAAGAACCCTGGAGGCTAGTGCTTAGCCACAGAAAATCTCCTTGACTTAAGGTTCAAGAACTTAACAATAACTGAGAGCCAAAACCCCACTAATGGCAGACTCTGTTCCTTTTCCTTTAATTATACCAAACCCTCACACCAAAGAACATACCTAGCTTCTTAATTAGTTCTTCCGGAACCTGTGGTTTTGTCCATAGTCGGATAACTAAAAAGTACACTTGAAACCCTTCAAGTTCTGACTCCCGCTAACTCTCCATCCCTAGCAGTATGCAACAGATTCACTTCTAACTAAAAAATCAGACTGTTTCCCCTTCAAGTGATCTGCTTGAAAAGAAATCCAGTATAAATGTTTTGTTCTTCCAAACTAGATCTCCAAAAACTCAAGTGTATCCAGTGAGTCGTTAGCAGCATAACGCAGCAATTAAGTACTGTCGGCTCAGGCGCTTCAGGATGTGCGAGCCGCGTCCTCGGATCTCCTGGACTCGCTGCTGCTCCACACACTGCCACGGAACACAGCCTCGGTTCTGAACACTCCATCCTGCTCGGGTTGTTAGTCCCTGCTTCACTGGTTTCCAGCCTCCAGACCAGGCTCCGGGCAAACCTCTCAGTGCCAGAGCTGCACGCTGGAACTCCAAAGGTTCCTCCCTAAACGCCCACGGGTAAAGGAGGTGGGGTTCATTTCCCAAGCAGCCGGTGTTACTGAAGAGCTCCAGGGCGGGCTCGCACCTTCTCCATCCCCCCCCCCCCCACACACACACCCAAGGACTGGTACCTTTCCTAATTTGGGGTCCCTGGTAGATGCAGAGGCTATTCAAAGCAACCCAGGACTGGCCTCCAACCAGCGACCCCCTCCTTCAAAACTGCCGGCTGAGCGGCAGCCCTTGCTGACCCTGACCAAGTCTGGAGAAAGAGGAGAATTAAATTTCAAACTATGATGTGCGGTGAGCTCACGGAGCTGAAGGGCTCCCCCATGCGCTGGACCCTAGCTGGCAATCGCCAGGTGAGGAGATGCGGAAGTACCTCTTCCTACCCCGCCCAGACCTGTCCACCAGGCTGGTGTAACAGGAATTGCAAACTCACCTACAGGACTGGTGCCTGTGCGAACTCATATCTCCCTGCACAGAGGCATGCAGGCGGGCACTGTCAAACAGGTCCCAGCCCCCGGAAAGGACGAACAAGAAAACCAGACGTTGAGATGTACGGAAGAGTTTTTAAAGAAGCAAGGGACGGCTCTCAGCCCCGGACCAGGCAGAAACCAGAAGGGCCAACACCTGGGAAGCTGCTGGTCACTTAACTATGGCACCTGCCGCGGAAGGCGCTCCTGGTTCCAATCCTGAGCAGCCTCCTCCACCCCCCACCCCCACCCACCCATCCTGACCTTGAATACAACCTCAAGACCGACTCCCCATCCCTGGTCAATAATTACTTCAACCCTCCCCCGCCCAAATACCTGATAACTCCAAAAGGGCTGCCTCAAAATGCACTTCCATTGTTGTCAAACAAGTACGGGCTTCCTGGGGCTGAAGAGATACCTCGGCTGTTAAGAGCACTTACTACATTCCGCTTGCGGCCCTTCCTGAGGCCCCTGGTTCTGTTCCCAGCAACTACACGGTAGCACACCGCCACCTTTAAATCCAGTTCCAGGGGCCCTGACGCCCTCTTCTGGCCTTCTCGGTGCACATACAGATATGCAGGCATAAACACACACTAAAACTAAAAGGAATTTCTATGTATTTACTGCCTACGATCGTTAGAAATGATGTCTCTCTACCCACCGCCCTCACCCCTCCTCCAGGCTCCGTGCCCCTACCACCAAGCTGGCTCCTCTTCCCACTCTACTCCCAAGTTCAGGGTCCCTCTGGTTGCCACACCTCAGAGGGAAGGCCAACTAAGGGGCTCGCGGCGCTGCAGAGGACCTGGAAACCGGGTCGCAATGCCGGGTGCCTCGGCGGATGCTAGCGTCCTCCCCCGGCTACGCCGCCTCCGCGGCTCCAGGCTGAGCCTGGGAGACCACGACTAGGAGAGGACGAGGAGTGAAGGGCGAAGTGGAAGGCGGCCACAGCCCCCGCGTGGGACGTCGGGGCGACGCTGTCAGGGGAACTGTGCGGGGCGGCCAGTCGGGGCGGCGCGCTCCCGGAACGCCCAAACTTTCTCCGCCAGCCAAGTTGAGGGGTGCCGGGGACCGAGAGCACACAGACGCCGGCAGGGGCGTCCGGGAAGCGTGGGGAAGGTGGCTCGGAGCGCACCGCGCCGCACCTGTGCCCCGGGGCCGCCCCGGGCCCGCACTCACCCGGCTGTAGAGCTCGCTGTACGACATGACCCCGCCGGCCCGGCCGGAGCCCCGGGCGCCTGGCGGGACGCTGGCTCCGGGTGCGCGCTGGGGCCCGCCCGGCTTCCTCGCTCCCGCCCCGCGATCTCGGGGCACCGCTGGAGCAATCCTCCCGGACCGGTCCCAGTTCCTCCGCGCTCCTCTCTCGGGTGGACCGACCCACTGGCGCCGACGCCCGCTCGCTCGCTCGCTCCGGCCCGCGCGACCTTTACTCCCAGGGCGGCGGCGGCAGCGCCGGCGGGAGGGCGGGGAGGTGGCGCGCCGCGCTCCCGGCTCAGGTACGGGGAGGAGGCGCGCGGCGAGGGAGGGAGGGACGGACGGCCCGCGCCTCCCCGCGGGCGGCCGTCGCCGCCTTTAAGCCCTCGGCGCCCCCGCCGCCACCGGGTCCCGGGGCGGGGGGCGGGGCCGGCAGGAGCCCCGGGAGCCGGCACGCGCCGCCCCCTGCTGGCCGCCGGGCGAACGCCGCGCAGGTGCGGCCGGACTGTCGCACCTGCCGCAGCGCGCTGCGCTAACACCTGGGCGGAGGCGGGGCAAAAGTAGCGCGGAGACCTTAGGAGAGGGAAGCCGGGAGGAAGCCTTCTGCGGCTGGGATGCCCTGTGCTTTTTCTCTCGATTTGGTGTGTTTGCGTTGAACGTTTTCATTAGTAAAACCTAACTGTGGCCGGGCGGTGGTGGCGCACAGAAGCAGAAGGACTTTGGTGAGCCTGGTCAACGAGAGCGAGTTCCAGGACAACTAGGGCTACACAGAGAAACCCTGTCTCGAAAAACAGTAAACAAACAGAAGCCTAATCATGTCATATAGCTCGTTGTTAAGGCGATATTCATGCACGCTAAAGACCATTCTCACCAAAATGAATGCCCTGCGCAGAAATCCCGATCGGCAAAGTGGTACTCTCCTGCGGGAACATTAATATTAATATTCACCCACGGGCTCATACTAGACCCCACCCCCACCCCCCACGTCTGAATTCTCAAGTTGTCTTGGATCTTCTGTCCCATACTCTGAGCCCCTCTGCGCTCCTCCCTCGTTTGTACATGTCTCCTCTGCCCTTGCTTTTGGCTGTCCATGGCAGCTTCATGCTTTTTTTCCAACTTAAAAAAAAAAAAAAAAAAAAAAAAACACTTGGGCATTCTATCCCCAAAGGGAAAAGAATTGGCAGAGGCGATCGGGGTGAGAGAATAGAGGTAAAGGACACTGCCTTGGGCTTTGAACTATCACACTTGACCTTGAGTGTGGCTTTTGGCCAGAGGATGCATCTATCCCAGCAGAGGGGGGGGGGGGGGTCGTTAGAACCCTCTCCCCAGTAGGTGACACCTTGACAAATTCTACAACTGGAATGAAACATCTGCATTACCACAGGCATTCCGTAATGAACCTGGGGACTTTGAGAGTTTCAAGGAAAAGACCCCCTGTCCAGAATTCTGATTTATTAGTGAGATATGGGGCCTGGATTTTAAAGCTTCTTTGAAATTCCAGAAATGATTCTTTCAAGGCTGACAGATTCAGTGACCAAAGCTCAGGCGGCTTCTGTGGGTGGACCCACACGCCAGCATCAAGGCTCGAACCCTCTTCTCCCCCTAGTCTTCCTGTGGGACTCAGCTCAGGGGTAGGGTAGAAGAATTGCATTGGATCCTCAGCACCAAATCACTGCATTTTACAGCTCCCCCCAAGTCCTTCTCCGTGGATTGTAGTCCATACGAAGGTGAGCCCTGCCCCCATTCAAGCAGTCACCAGCACAACCTGAGACCTTCTATGGCAGTGGGGGGAGCATTCTCTTAGCCAGCAGGAAGCCCGGGGCTTCAGCGCAGACCTGTGGATCCAGACACAGTGGGGGTGGGGCCAGCCGTCTGTTTTCACCCCCTTTAAGTCCAAGAGGCTCCTGCCTTGTTCCACCTCTTACTCCAGAAGTCCCCACCAGCCTTCCCGACTCCTGACCAGCAACTCCTGCTGGCTGCTGGCTTTTCCTTCTTTTCCTTCCACACTTCCCTTACCTGCGTGCCTCCATTTACTTGCATAGTGCTCTTCCATAACCCATTTTCTAGTCATCATGATCACCTTTAAACAGATGTCGGGCCCCACCCTCAGAAATTCTGATTTCATTCACCTGCGGTGCTGCCCAGAAGTTTCTGGGGTTTGCCACTCTTGGTTTTTAACTTGTTTTGCTTAGAAGTGGGTTTTGTTTTGTCAAGTCAGGGTTTTCCCCCATACCTGAGACTGCTCTCAAATTCAAGATCTTCTTGCTCCAACCTTAAAAGTACCCGACGACAGCTGTTGCCCCCTGCCCTGCTACTTCCCGCTGAGGGAAAAGGGTTTTTGAAGAGCTCCCGGTGTTTGTCATGTGGTGAAGCTTGAGCAGCACTGCCGTGGACTGGGGGTGCAGCTCAGTGGCTGAGTGCGTGCCTAGCATGCTCAGGAGTGGTTCTCAGCCTTCCTCACGCTACAGCCCTAATACAGTTCCTCACGTCTCGGTGACCCCCAACCATGATTTCATTGCTGCTTCTTAACCGTACTTTCGCTACTGCTGCAAATCGTCGTCATGTAAATGTCTGCTGCGTGGGTATCTGATATGCCCCCCCAAGGAGTCTCACGAGTTGAGGACCACTGATACAGAGGGTTTGATGCCAGAGATGAACACACAGAGGGGAGGGGGAGGGGAGGGAGGAGGGGGCTGCTCTAACATGGGTCCCGATTAGCCTATCCTCTAGGAATGCTCTTCCCTGTTTATACTGAACGTCTTCATTGTTAAAACCCAATCATGCCACAGTCCGTCACTAAAACGATTCTGAGACATGGTAAAGATTGCCCTCACCAAAATGAACTCCCTGCGCAGAAATGAAAAAAGTGCTGTTCTCCTGGGGGAACATTAATTGTTTCACACACAGCCTCCTACTAGACTGCAATTCTGGACAGAGGGTCCCTTCTTTGAAACTCTCAAAGATCCCCGGGTTGGAGTCTTATTCTAGCTGCTTTGCTATTTCTCCTTTTCATCTGTTTTCCCAGCTTCTCTAATCTCATCTCCTGAACGTAACTTTCCAGCCCTGCTCCTTCCTCCTGAAGAAAACTGTGCCCCATGTCCTATAACACCTTTTTTCTTCTCTAGGCCCACTATTTCATCTCTGAGCACGAGGCACACTCTCAAATCTCCTCTTATCCCCATTCTAGAGCAACATTTTCACCTGCCAGATTAGCAAGCCCATACATCCCACTAAGATGTCTGACCAGCCTGAAACCAATTCTGACCACACTCCATTCCAACTGCCTGGCTCTCATCAGACCTGGCACAAATTAAGAGCTCAATTCGTGCCGGCTGAACTGAATCACATCCCTGAGGGGGACAGTGGCCTAGACCAGCGCTTTGTGAATGCTAATTGTACAATCAGATACGGACATTGCCTCCTTTGGTTAAGACTAATAACATTTTAAACTTACTTCACTCCAAGAAACGTGCCGAGTGTTCTACACCTGTATCTTGTTGAAGCCTCCGTGAAACCTTATAAAAACAGGCTGGGACCATTAATCCTCTCTCACAGATGACCAAAGTAAGGCTCAAAGAAGAACAGGTGAGAAATACCACATGCCAGAGACCTACTATTTCTTTTCTAGGACGTAAGTGAATAATAGGTCTTGAACTTCATGGTTCAACATCAGGATTAAGGGAGAATCCAGGGGTGCATACTCAGCTGGGTAGAGTCAATTAGTGTGGATGTTCAGTAAGTACCCCGGGTTGGCTGGAACACCTGGATGTGGAAATGTTGCTCTGCTTCATGGCCTCCCAGAGTAGAGATGGTATCTGTTAAGAATGCCGTGGTCCCTCTCCTGGCAGGTACACGCTTATGAACAAGAACAGCTCCGAACCCACAAAGCATTCATTCGCACTTCTTCTAGTGTGTGTCACGCGCTGTGCCCGCCCATTTTGGCCTGTGGCTCATATCCCTGCTCTCGCCACTAGCCTTGAAGGGCCTGTCAATGGGACTAAACCGGACCTGTGCTTCTCACTCTGCACACTGGGCTCACTGAGATGGGCAATGAGTCAGATCTACAGGAAGTGCTGCCTGTTAATTGGTTGGGGGGGGGGGAGTGGCAGAAAAGAAAGGAGTTTCCAAGAAGGTTAAAAAAAAATAACCCAAAGTGGGGGCCAGAGGGAGAGGCAGTAGAATCCAACTACGAAGAAACTTTTGTTGACTATGACTTAAGTAAAACACTTGTAAGTGCTGGTTAAACTCATTTCCTTATATCCTCTTCCCCCTCACACAGATTCATATCTCTCCTCCCTTTTCTCCTTCTCACAAGCTACACACACATTTGTGGAAAAGTACGCAAAGCATATGAGAACTTCCTGCCCTCATCCTGGCTCCAGCTAATGATCAGGCAAGCAACCACTGAGGATAGAAGCTGGAGTGTTAAGAGGGGCCCAGGTTTGCTGCTCAGTTCTGGCTATTTTCTCCCCAGTGGACATTGGAAACACTGGCTTATGCCCACACAGCATGGTTCCCCCCTTTCTTCCTCACCTGTGTGCCCTGAAGATGAGGTGAACCTCTTAGGCATTTTTCAGTTGGATCTGTACCAATCAGGGTGGGCTGGGTTTGCTTCAGGAACCGACTAAGCCCCAAGCCTCTTCTATGCAAAACTGCATTTCTTGCTCACATTGTTCATGTAATGATGTATTGGATGGGGCTCTGCTCCATGTGGTCTCTCCGGGTATGTGTCTGGAAGATCGTCAGTGTTGTGGCAGAAGGCAAGGGGATGCAGCAAACACTACTCCCGCTCTTAAAGCTTCCCTGCACATTCATTCACACCTCACTGAGCCAAGTAAGTCTCTGTCGTCCAGGGCCAGGATGTAGGATGTTCGACCAGCCAGGGCCCTGACCAGAGGCCTGACGCAGAGCAGGATACAAAGTATTTGAACAAACATGTAATTCATTAGATTTATTTTTCCGATGCTCGAACTTTTATCTCATTCAGAAAACTTGAATTATGTTAGCATTTTTTCCTGCGTTCTTAACCAGGCTGTGGTGGTTTGAACAGGTATGGTCCCCATAGATTCATGTATTTGAATGCTTGGCCATAGGGAGTGGCACTATTAGGAAGTGTGGCCTTGTTAGAGGAAGTGTGTCACTGTGGAGGAGGGGCTTTGTGGTCTTAAATGCTCAAGCTCTGCCTAGTGTGGATTGAAGTCTCCTCCTGGCTGTCTCCAGTCAAGAAGTAGAACTCTCGGCTCCTCCAGTACCATGTCTGCTTGCACACTGCCATGCTTCCCACCGTAATGAAACCTCAGAAGCTGTAAGCCAGCCCCAATTAAATGTTTTCCTTTATAAGAGTTGCCATGGTCATG